GCCAGATGATAGGCAGGAATCTGAGCAGTTCACAGTGATGTCCAAGTCTCCATCCAGTCCCCACTAGACTCTTTCAAGGAATAGGTAGGAAATGGCTTTGAATTAATGAATACATACTGAAAAGCAGAGCAGAATCAGAGTCGGATCCAACCAGTGCCTGACAGCATTAGATGACAGAATGGCACTTACAGAACATGTTTAGCCACCTGCAAAAACCCGCTTTTTTTGCATCAAACGAAGCAAGGACATCCTTTGGGAGGTGCATTAAGCTCCACAGCCCAAGGAGCTGAGGGTTTGCAGAAGTGCAGAAACCATCTGGCTAAACCCAGAACGGCGCCGTGATTGCGGTCCTGGCTTACCACCACTTCCTGAGCACCATGGAATTCACACGTACAGTGACAATCAGAAACCAGAAACAACGGCTATTTCACAGAAAGTTGCTCCACAATCCCGTGAGTGCAGGGTGTGTGTAACCAGACGTGCTTGGAGAAAGAATAGGCAGCACCTTCTGCGGTGGCCAAGGGGAGAGGAGGCAACAGGCTCTGGGCTTCTCTTTTCCCTGGGGATGGCAATGCATCCAGGTGCTGGGACACAACATTACCTAGAAAAACAGACTCCCATGCCCATTGAGAATGGCTCTGATGATGCCACAGTGGCTACAAGTTACAGGGCAGAGCTCCTCAGAAGTTATTCAAACACTGCTAATTGTTTGGCTGTGAGGTTTTGAGGTCACAAGCCATAGAAATGATACTTCCATGTTTTGGGTGGGGAAGGAAGGTAGGATCTCGGGAACTGTGTCTTTAAGCAGCTTAGTTCTGGAGACAGGAAGTCTGGTGATGGGCTGCAGCAGTGCAGATTTTATTATGCAATTTCTCTTGGAACTAGTCCCTGAATAAAGGAGTTATCCAGTAAGCACCTGCCTCACCCTGCCTCCTGAGCACCGTGGATGAAGGCCACAGGAACCCAAGCAAGAGCTTAGCCATCAGCTGGGGCAGCAGGGAGCCTTGCGCTGGGGTCCAGACTGTGCTTGTTACATAGTGTCTTTCAAAGAGTTTCTTTTCACAATATTCTCCTGCTGTGTTTGAGCTCATTCCAGGTTCAGTGTTTACCAGCGGTTGAGGCCATCTGACTCCTGCAATACGGATACCAGAGGGCTGTGGCACCCTGGGCACTGCAGAACTCCTCGGTTTTTGGGGTATTTCATCATAGCCCTGTTTCCAGGGGCAGTGGATAACAGGCAGTCGTCTTCTCCCTGCTGCCATCAAGCCGGTGCTGTTCGGATCTCATGGCAGGGGGCAGTTGAGGCCATCCTGAAGGGCCATCATGTCAAACAGAAGCAGCAGGACCCAGCAGCAACAGGATCCTCCTACTCTGCCCCCACTGCCTGGGGTAAAGGATTCCCTTTCTCCAAAGCACTTCCTTGCCCTTCCACTCTGTTGCTGGGACTCACAGCCCACCTCTGATCTCCCCAGCATGGCAAGCCTGGCACTCGCTGTGAAGATGAGGAGTTCTCCCAGCTCATGGAAGAGGAACCACACCCTCCATGTCTACTCCTCTGGTCTGCTCCCCATTCCCAACGCTGAGTGTGTGGCATTTCCCTCCCAGGCACCAACACAGCAGCTCCTGTCACAGCGCTGGGGCTGTCAGAGGCCCGTGCTCAGTGGCTGTGGGCTCAGAGTCACAGTGCTGGTGTGACATCGGTGTGTTGCCCAGCACCAGGCAGCATGAACCTCCTGGAGCCAGGAGGTAGCTGTGGGACCACTCAGGATCTGTCCCCAGTGGTAAATCTCCATTCTGACTTCCTGCCAGAGCTGCAGAGTTAGAGCAGCAGCAGGGAAGGGGGTCATCAGGGAATTAAGTGCTATGGGGGCTCTTGGTGTCAGCTGCTCCAGCAATTCCACAAGCGATGGAATCACAGAATCATGGACTGGTTTGGGTTGGAGGGACCTTAAAGCCCATCTCATTCCACCTTCCTTCCCTGGGCAGGGACAGCTTTCACTACTCCAGGTTGCCCAGGCTGTAAAGGGAAAGGCAAACACAAGGAGTGATCCAAGCTGCAGTTCAAAATACACCAACCAGACTTGTTAAAAAGTTGAAGCAGCAGCCAGCAAAGGGCTCTGCTGTCCTGAGCTGTGCCTGACATCTGACCTGATTCCCACCCCTCACCTCCAACAGCAAAATGTTCCCCCTTAACCTAAACTGGGATAAATGCCTTCTACCACAGTAAAACACTGCGGGACAAGAGCTGTTGCTCTCATGTCTGGAGCCACTGTGAGACACCGAACCCTGTCCCACACTGAGACATCCTGAAACAGATGGGAACTCACTGGTTTTGAAGGGAATTAAAGCAGGCAGCACCAGGGAGCCCTTACTTGGGTAACTAATGAGTAATACAGTGATAGAAGCAGAGGCCTGTGAGAGACCTCCACATGATTACAGCCAGACCTCAGCAAGGACAGGCACCATGTAAATAAATACAGAATTTGCAAGTAAATGTAATGAAATGCATGTAAATGTAGAAGTAAATGTAATGAATTCCAGTTTTGCTGTAAACAAAAGGCAGACTTACTCTTTGCAAAGGAAGATGTCATTATGGATCTCCTTCAAACCAATGTGTTATTGCTGATGAATCCACCTCAGCTTATGTAGCTCATCAACACATCCTCGGGATTGTCTCAGCGCCCTTCTCCAGCCTCTCCTGCGGCTGAGGCTGCCCTTCGAGGACATTCCGACATGAAGGCAATGAAAACAGCCCCAAGCAACCAGTTTGGGTACAAGTAGCTCTGCTGCCACACACGTCACCAGGGCTTATACGACCTGCTTCTCAGGTTGGGAACCAGTATGGAAATCCATGGAAGTGTATGAGCACCAGTCTTCTAAACCTGTTTGGGGCTGGGGAAGTCTGTCTAGACAGAGCATAAGGTGTTTGTGAAGTGAGGCTGGGTTTGTTGTGAGAGTGGGTCGGTTCCCACTGGAGATTTGCCCTCACGTGGGGCTGCTCTGAGGGCACGGGGGGAAATGGGCGCACTGAGGGAGGAGCTTGGCAGAGGAGGTTGCGAGGGGACATTGAGAGGGGACATTTGTGGTGGGACTGAGAGGGCTGACTGAGAGAGGGAGCTGAGAGGGGAGACTGGGAGGGGAATTGCGGTGAGGGGAAACCAAGAGGGGACATTCATAGGAAGACTGAGAGGGGAAATTGGCTGTGAGGGAGGCATTGAGAAGGGATGTCCATAGTGGGACCAAGAGGGGAGACTGTGAGGGGGTGTTGAGCCATCTGCAGTGGGACTGAGAGGGGAGTTTGTGAGGGGTGACTCTGAGGGGACTGAGAGGGGAAGGGGGAATGTGGAGAGACTGTGAGAGGGGCACTGAGACATCTGAGGGGAGATGGAGAGAGGACACTGTGAGGGGATCGCTGAGAAGAGGGGAGACTGAGGGCGCAGCTGTGGGGTGCTGAGGGGGAGCACCTGACAGGAGCAAGCAGGAGAGACTGAGCAAGTGACCTGGGGGGAGGCACTCTGAGGGGATTGAGAGGAGACTGAGAGGGGGGATTTTGAGGAGGCATTGAGCCATCTGTGGGGGAAATGAGTGGAGAGATTTTGGGGGTGAATGTGAGGGGACTAAGAGGGGAAGGAGGGACTGTGGGAAGACTTGGCGGGGACACTGTGAGGGGGAACTGAGATATTTGAGGGGCACTGAGATGGAGAGGGGACGCTGTGAGGTGGGAGCCCTGCCAGGAGCAAGGGGAGACCGAGGCAAGTGACTTGGTGGGGGAATTTAAGAGAACTGAGGGGAGACTGAGAGGGAACACTGTACAAGGGTGTTGAACCATCTGGGAGAGGAGGTTGTAGGGCTGACTGTGAGGGGACTGAGGTGGGAAGAGGGGACTGTAGGGAGACTGAGCGGGGATGCTGTGAGGGGGGCTCTGAGATATCTGAGGGGACATGAGGAGGGGACACTGAGGAGGGCACTGAGATATCTGAGGGGAGACGGAGAGGTGACATTATGAGAGGGCAGCTGTGGGGGGAGCCCTGACAGGAGCAAGGAGAGACCGGGGCGAGCGACCTGGGGAGCCACTCTGAGGGGGACTGAGGCGAGACGGAGAGGGGACATTGTAAGGGCGGCCCTGAGGCATCTGAGGGGCCACTGCAAGGGACGAAGAGGGGACGCTGTGAGGGGGCATATCTGGGGTACTGCGTCAGGAGCCCCGACAGGATCCAAGCAGGATAGACCGAGGCGGGACCCCTCGGACGGGGTCGGGTAGGGCACCGCCGCTCACAACGAGGGCGCGGTCTGAGGGGCGGGGTAGCCACCAGAGACCCTTCCCCACCTGAAACCTCCCCTTCCATCCCCGATCCCCTCGGCGGAGCAGCTGAGGACGGCGCCGGGCGCTTCCGCCGCCGTGCGAGCCTTTCCGGCGGGGGGGGGGGAGTGGATGAGGGAAGGGACGGCGAAAGCAGCGAGGGAGGGGGGGGGGAAGGCGGGGCCGCGCCCGCGAGCGCGCTGACGCAGCGCGCAGGCGCCGCCCCCGCCCCGCCCCCGAGGGCTCTGGAAAAGAGAAGAGAAAAAAAAACTTTTTTTTTTAATTGAGGAATCAACAGCCGCCATCTTGTCGCGGAGCCGGAGCGCGGCGCGGGCGGAGCGGGCCGGGCCGGGCCGGGCCGGGGGCAGCGGGGCCGCCCCGCCGCCGCACGGGGCAGCCGCGCCGAGCGCCGCCGACGCGCACAGCGGTGGAGGGGGGGGGAGGGCGGCTCGAGCCGAGCAAGGGGCGCAGCCGCCCGGAGCCAACCGACCGCCGCCGCCGCGACCGGGGGGGAGCCGCCGCCGCCGCGCCGCGCTCATTGTTTTGGGGCGGTTTTTTTTGGAGGGGGGGTCGCCGCGGATTTTTCCGCTTTCTGGCTATTTTTTTTTTTTTTTTTTTTTTTTTTTAATTTTGCCGCCCCCCTTCTCTTCTCGGCTTCCCTCTCCTCTCCTCCCCTACCTCGGCCGCGGGCGGGCGGCGGGCGGGGGCCGGGGCGAAGCCGCCGCCGCGGAGGGGAGGGGACGGGGCGAGGCGAGGGGAGCGTGTGGGGGGGCGGAATGCGCCCCGAGTGACGGCCTGAGCCGCCATCCGGGCACCGCGGCGGGGGGAGCGCCCGGGAGGAGCGCGGCCGGCAGGGAGGGGGCGCTGGGCCCTTCGCTCCCCGCCCCGAGCCCTCCTCCCTGCGGCCTGCGGCGGCCCGGCATGGGGGAGCGGGGGCGGCCGGCCGGGCACTGAGCGGCGCTGTTGGGTTCCCGAGCGGCGGAGGAGCGGGGACAGCGAGCTCGGCCCCCCCCCGCGGGGCACCCCCCGACAACGATCACCGGCTCCGCCGCCTCGGCCACCATGGCGGAGAACTTACTCGACGGGCCGCCCAACCCCAAGCGAGCCAAGCTCAACTCGCCGGGCTTCTCCGCCAGCGATAGCACAGGTAAGGCCGCGGGGCTGGCTCGGGCGGGGCTCCACGGCGGTTCCCCCACACACACACCCGACCGGCCCGCCGGAGGGGGGGGCTGGGGGGACCGCCCGCCCTGCCGCGGTTCCCGGCGGGGGTGGGTTGGGCCTCCTGCAGTCGAAGTTACCGGGCGGGACCCGTACGCCGAGTACCGTCCCGGCTATAAATAGCGGTTGGAAAAGGCGTTTTTGTGAGTCGGGTTTCCCCTTCTTTTCCTCCGTCGTCCTCGTTTTTAGCTTCCTGGTTCGGATGATGGGGGTGCGCAGGTGAGTGGGGTGCGGGTAGGGAAGGAGGAGGGCCGACCATCCTGCTTATTGTAGAATCGTGGAACGGGGTTTGGGTTGGAACGGACGTTAAAGCTCATCTCGTTCCAACCCCCTGCCATGGGCAGGGACACCTTCCACCAGCCCAGGTTGCTCCAAGCCCCGTCCAACCTGGCCTTGGACGCTTCCAGGGCTGGGGCAGCCACAGCTTCTCTGGGCAACCTGTACCAGGGCCTCCCCACCCTCACAGGAAAGAATTTCTTTCTGGTATCTAAATCTAAGCTGGTGGCTTCTTGGAAAGGTGGTCAAGGTTTCTATGTACTCCTGAAACCCCACATATTACCCACAGCTAACAGCCCTATACAGGCTCTTCCACTGTGCCCCTACATGTGACAATCTACGGAATAAAAACTCCCTAATAGCTTCTTAATCATGGAATGGTTTGGATTGGAAAGGACCTTAAAGACCATCGAATTCCATGCCCCAGTTAATACTTTGCTGGCTTTTTTTTTTTTTTTTTTGCCCCCCACCTGTGACTCAGGTTTAAGGCGCTTGGCTCGAGCAGTCCCGAGCGTTTTTCCTTTAAAACCCAAACGATTTGCAGATAATGATTGAAGTTGTGGGGTTGGTTGTGTGACGAAATGCCCGGCAGCCTGGCAGTCGGGCTGTGTGTAGTCTCTCTGGAGTGCCTTGTTCTTCGGTTGTGATGGGTTTGTAGATAATAAGGTGCATCAAAATGTTTCGTGTCCAGCGAGCGCCTGCCTGTTGTAAATACACACGTGTGTATTTACACGTGTGTAACAAGAGCATGTGTGTGTGGACCGACGTCTCCCGGTGTTCCCACTGTTTCAATCACTGAACCAGTGGTTTCTGAGGAACACGAAGTGTGTTGGACTTGCATTTCTGCTTTCAGAGATTAATGAATCTTGTGAAAGGGACAGTGATAAGTTAATCGTGCTATGCCTGCTGTGTTTTCATAGGCTGAAAAAAATTATTACTATAATTGAGCTGATAAATCCTGTGGGTTTTTTCGGCTTGCTCAATCTGCGTTTGGCAATAGTTCATGGATGTCCTTTAGGGGTTTTTATGGTATCCTTCTCAGCCTACAAATAAATGAAACAAGCGAGAAAGAAACAGTATCGAGAGTAAGAATTGTAAGGGAATATCTAGGTGAGGTCTTGTGATTGAACGACGTTAATCCCTTTCATGGAAGCAGTGGAATAAACGGGAGGCTGATACACAAGTTGCTGTGAAACGCTACACGGTAACTCGGGTGAGATACAGTTTTTCTTTAGGTCTGCAGCTGGACATTTTACGCTCTCCTGGTAGCCAGTGAAAGGTGTTTGAAGAGGTGTCTTGGATTTCTTTTTTTCTTTCTTTCTTTTTTTGAAGTTCACTCGGTCTGTTCTGGAATGCTTCAATCTTAATTACGTCCTGTTCAGCAAGTTCTCGTGCGTCTCGGCGAGCTCTCTGCAGTGCTGGATATGTGAACTCCAGCATCTGCAGAAAGTTCTGCAGGGCTGAGGGGGCCTCTGGGCACTGGGACGGCAAACCCCAAGCTGTATTTTGGACAAGTGTGTCCATGGAGTTCTGTTGTCACCCTCGCGTTCCATCGGCGAAAATCTCTCTCTGCCTAGAGCGTGGGTAATGTTTGTTCACTTAGAGATTTTTTTTTTTTTTTTAAGGAAAAGCGCTTCTAGGTTTGTTGCCAGCACTTAGTGCTGCTTGTTGAAGCATCCCTGGTGGTTTCTGTGCGTTGTAGCAGGTGATACACATAGTTCGAGTAGCGATTGCTGTCAAAAACCTGCTCCTGGACCTAAACGAGGCTGCTCCCCGGTGCCGAGGCTTAAATCAAAAAGTTCTGCTGCAGCCTGGAAAGGGTCCTTTGTGACCGGAGGAGCCTGGGTGAGGTGGGTTTGAGGCTCGTTGCCTGGATGAGCAGAGCAGCGAGTTGTGTGTGGATGAACAGCGCTGTAATTGCAGTGGTAACCCCGCGCCGTCGGGTGCTGCGGCTGCCGCGGCGGGGACGTGCTTTCCCAGCCTCCGCTTCGGGCCCGGCTGCGCCGTTCTGCTGCTGAGCACTTCAGCTCCCAGCCTGCAAACGCCCGTACCCGAGGGTCTGGTGGCAGCCCTGAACGCTCGGCAGAAAGCAACTGCTCAGCCTTGTTTATATTTCTTTGATGCGGTGATGTTAAGCAACTCCTTTTGTCGGGGTAAGTTTTAGGTGCCTTTAATCTTTCTGATAAAAATAGCTCCTCGGCTTACCGGGGCAAAGTTTGTGCCGTTGAAATCGGTCTGTTTACGTTCTGAAAATACAACTTTTCCTGTTAAACCCAAGCAGCTAAATCTAAAGTCTGATCTGGGAGGAGGGAGCAGAGGTGAAAGGGTAGCAGAAATGGGTGCTGTGACCATCGTTAAGTTTCGTGATAGTCCCATTTTGCAGTTGCCCTGCTGGTCTTTGTATCAAAAAGAAAGGTTAAGACTGGTGTCTGTGCTGTATTGAACAAGCTGGCTTCTGTGCTAAAATGTCCGTGGGAAAGATTTTTCCTTGTCTAGCCAAGTAGGAGTAGTGCTTTTGTCTAATTACTGCTTTATTAGATACACAGTCGTTTTCATACCTAAACATTTCTCTTCTCTGTGGCTGCTGTGAGATATTCTCATCCACCATGGGGCAGAATAAGCAAGGGACTCCTACAAAAAGTAGAAATACAGCAACTTTGCTTATGGCAGTGTGTTATTTTTATGTTGAGTGTTGTGATTATTTTGTACGTTGCTGGCGTTGGTCCTCCAGCAGAATATACAGAGACCTCATGTTGTTCTTGAGCTGGTGTCGGGCTGAAGGCTGCACACACATCAGGAAAAATACATCTGTGTGGAGCAGCAGCAAAGCTGGAGGTGTTCAGGTGCCCCTGGACCCTGGTGGGGTCTGGTTTACACTGAAGTCGTGCCTCTGTCTGCATTCGCTCCGTTCCCTGCAGCTTGTGCTGCTGTGGAGCTGCGCCAGTGCCAGAAACAACCCAGTGTAATCTGGGCCAGAGCAGAGGGTGTTCCTGACAGCGTCAGGACTTAACGACTTCCTAAAGTAGGTGAAGTTGGGAAGAAGGTGAGATGAGCGGCTTCAAAAACCCATCAGAGCTGGATTTTCACCTCATACTTCTTGTGTGTGTGTGGTGTTGATTTTTTTACCCAGGTGAAGCAGCATGGCCGCTGCTGCAGAGTCCACGGCCGGCACTCCCGGTAACTCACGTTCTCCTCACAGCCCTGTGTTGGCATCCAGGGCCCGGATTTCGTGCCGGGGGAAGGCTGGCCCTGCCACACGTGCCTTCCTACGTGCCGAGATAAGCAGATCTCTGGCTGACTCCCAGCCAGCTTCAGAACTTCGCAGAAGGGAGTTCGTGTCGATGCGCAGCCTGATTTGATCCCACTCCCCTGCCAAAAAACAGAGAGGTGTACTGCAGTGGATTTAGGTTTTAGTTTTAAAAGAGGTGGACAAAACCAAAGTAGCTTAAGGAGAGACAGCGAGGCTTTCTAAGCTCGTGTTCTTAGCTGAGACTTCAGGTGGAGTGACGTCTGGGTGATCTAAAACCAGATTTTGCTTAGGCACGTGGAAGCATTAGTATGGATGTTTTTGAGGGTTCATTCCTGCGTGGCTGAAAAGCTTCATGGAAGCCTGTGTAATCGGTCTGCTCTTGTTCTGTAGGATATGGGCAAAACTTGAGTGTCATTTGTGTGCTGTGACAGTAAGAACCGCAGTTACACACATGCTTCCTCCATCTCTCCCTGGAACAAGGGACAGGGTAATTCCATTAAACGACCAGACTTGGATTTATAAGCAGAAAATCTGGGGAAGAAATGCATCTTCCGAAAAGCTGGAGGTGAAGGAGCGTGTGCAGTTGTAATTATTCCATGGGAACGTCCTTTATTTTGTGGAACTTGCACCATAAGTATCTGGGGTGGGAGGTTGGATATTTCATGGCTATATTGTTTCATAAGACTTAGTATTTAGGTGTAACAGTGGGGGTGGTGGATGGGAAAGGAGGATGCCGAGCAAGAATGTTTACTTTGAGCTGTGAGTTTGATACAAGCTGATTATTTTTTTTTTCACCTGAAATGACTGACCCGCATAACTTGATGCCAGCGGTTGTGATCTGGAACAGGAGATTTGTAAGATTAGAAATGGGCTCATTTAGAGAGTCTAGTGCAGCTAATTCTTACCAATTCCTAGAGCATTGCTGATAGCAGGATATTTTGTACTTTCTCAGTGTTTGGAGGCTTTAATAGATTTTTTCCAAGGAGTTTGATACTCACGTCTGTGTGTGTGGGATGAAAAGCTGAGCAGGTGATCTGCCACCCTGATCTCATGTGTGACAGTCCACTGTCTTACCATTGTGCCCATTCTGTCTTTTTCTTTTTTTGAAAGTCTTATTTTGATAATTACACATGTACTGGGGAGTTTATCAAAATGATTCCTTCCCTCTTATGACTTAAAATTAACCCAGTAAATGCTGTTTTGTGCAGTGGGGTAGAGCTTCCAGAGAAGCCCTGCCAGCAGCAGGCAGGAGTAGAGGCTGTGCTTGGGGAGTCAGTCTTTGCTGTGCTCCAGAAATCTCTTGGTAGCTTGTGAAATGATTCCCGGTTTTCTGCTGCAGATGATTCACTTTCTATTCTGGCTGGCCGTTCCTTGGCGTCATCATCCAGTGCCATTAATTATTT